CCCTTGTGTGCAGTAGAGACACAGCCGTGCCTAAAAGACAACCAAGATTGGTGATCAAAACAACAACAAAAAATTGATAAAGAAATTAGACAAGTCTACAGGTCCCATGTGCAACAAAAACAAAGACAGGGTTTGGTGATACCTGAGAAATCTCTGTAAAGATGTCACTGCAAAACAAAAGGGACTCTTGCAGAGGGTGAGGATGCAAAGCTGCATGCAAGTTGCACCACTGAGCTCATATTGCCACAGTAGCAGCAACAGCCAAAGTGACAGCAAGAATCTGTCACCAAAAGATAAATTAAATTTGGGTCCTGGAGGCAGTTATTTTATACAGCAATATGCCTAGTGCACTAGAAATCCTGCACTACAAAGCAGATTATCTTACCTTTATTATCATGGCCTATCTTGATTTTTTTCAGGTCTCCAATGTCCACAGACTCGACTGTAAACTCATCTACCTTCCCACGCTCAAATTTGTTCTTGTTAATCTTTGAAGCCTTTAGGCTGACTATCCCTGTTGTGGCAATGCAAAAGAACATTGTTCAACATGTGAAAGAAATCTCCTGTGAATGTCAACAGTGGAAAGAGGGAAGTGGCTAAAATACAAAACTTGGCCTTTCATCTCAGGATCTGACCCTTGTCACTCCCTCTGAACCCAAATCTGTATCAATACCCAAAATATACAGAATTCCTCCCTCAAGTGATCCTCTGGCAGTGTGACAGGGATAATGCTGTTGTGCTGTGTTCACAGCTAAAGAAATTGGTGCTACACATCAGTTCGCTGTCACTTCTGTCACAGACATTTCAGTTACTGCATACACAGCTCAGCTGCTTCCAAGAGGATTTGCTCATCAGCTGATAAAATACTGCTGGACCACTCAAAGAGGCAGAGGAGGGCTGGTTTCAGGAGCAAGCTGATTCATTGCTGAGGAGAGCAAATCATTCACTGCATTCAGTACTCAGTAATGTAGTCCCAGTCAACTATGCTGTTTCTATAATTGAAATTAAAACCTTTAGACCAGCAGCTGGTGCAAATCAACATCACAAAGTTTGGCAGTGATTTACAGCAGCTGGTGGTGTGCTTCCAAGTTACCATGATGTATGCACCAGCAGCAAGACCTTGAAGTTGCACTAAAAAGAAATGAGGAATAGATATTGAGGAAATAAAAGGAAGCCATGAGCTGTCTTTTCAAGTATCCATCAGTCACTTGCTATCCTTTTCCATCATATGAAACCATACCTGTATCATCTTTGCTTCCATAGAGTGTGATGAAGATGTTGGCATCTGTCCCAGCATTCTTCTTATCCCCAGTTTTCACTTTCACAGTGTATGTCGTTGACTTAGCTGTTAGATAAAACACCTTAATTTAAGAGTGTGAAGTCTAAGTAGGAGTTAACTCTAATTTTCCTCCCATATGTGTGTTTGGTTGAAACTGATCACAGCCATACTGTAATCTCTAATTCCCGTCCTATGCTGTGGTAGCTCCTGGGGCGAGCTGGGCTATCTGATTGCAGAATGTTCTACTACTGTAGTCCTTTAGCACATTGTCTGCATATCTACAGATAAGAAATGTGCTCAAGCCTTCCCATTTCCATCCTGAGAACCTCTAACACTCCTCAAAGCTGCCCTGCTTGTAATATTTAATTTAAAACATTCACATACACCACTTTATTCTACTGGTACCAAATAATATATGTGCATGTAACACAAACCACAAGGTATGTACTGACATATACAGTTCATATTCACAAACACACCCTTCAGAACAGCATCACTGGGGAGGTTTCTATTAAACCTGCATCTAGCAAGCACAGTAAACTCATAAAAAATATGGAGAAGTCTAATATAGTATTCACTGCTCTTCAATAACCTACTCAAGATTTCCAAAATGGAATATTTCCTCCGTAGTTACACACACGTTTCCAAGATGCTGCTCAAGCAGCATGTCCTCCTGAACAAAAGGGATAAACACTTCGTGGAATCTGTTTGATTATACAACTTGCAGAAATTATTCCTGTATTCAAAAGCATCTGAGGGGGAAGTCAGGAGAAAGTTTAAAACCTTTCACCGGTTATTAAACCAGTGGAAGTGTTGGGCACTCAGCACCTTGCAGCATCAGACCCAGGAGTGTGTCATTGTTCTGTGGTTACCACGCAAAATTATATACAAGTGAGGCAAAGTTATTTTCAGAGGACAACTGACACAAACAGCAAGATGGAAAGTGAGATAAAGTTAGGTCCCTTTCCCCAGTTATGTTCATTCTCTGCTCAGTTTCACATCAAAACATTTAACCATTGCAGTCCATGATGTGAAATGAATGAGAATTATTCCTTAGATATTAGCAACTAATATGCATTTCAGTTGACAGAAGATGACTGAATATATTATCCATCTTCCTAGCTTTCTCGATTTGCATTCAATCTTGCAAGATGATTAAATTAACTAAAAATGAGAAGGGTCCACTCCTTGCTGCTTGACATGCACTTCACACTTCATTCACACCTGAAAATTTCATGGCTGGGGCAAAAATTACTCACAGCCCAGTGAGCAACGGCTACTGCTAACTGTTACTGCCCTCAGCAGCATTAATAACTTGGTTCCTTTCCAACCCCACACTGGAAGAAATACAAGGCTAACATAAACCTTTCTGTTCCAGGCCCAGCGTTGCAAGAGACTGGCCATCATTTTCCGAATCTTTCTTTACAAATGCTTCATCCACTGGGACCAGCTCCCTGACAATCTGACCGTCATCTTCCTCAACCGCTAACCACCGCTGGCATGGAAAATAATACCTACAAGAATGACAGCAGCACCCAGCGCTTACACAGGACTTCACAGGCTTTAATAACATAAACAAGAACAGATCAGAGGCTACTTAAAGAAAAAAAACCACCAGCAAGATTATTCAAAGCTGAACAATACATCTGTTTCCATCCTCAAGATCTGGTGTTGTTTGCGCAAACTAAATCCATAAATAGGTTAGGGAGAACTTACTGAAAAGTGCTGGTTCTGGGCTGTCCGTCCCATGATTGATTCATTTTACTTTTCACTCCCAGAAAAGTTAAATAACTCAAGGGAACCTCCAGTTTCTCTCCAGACATTTTGTCTATGAAGACTGGACTCATCTTAAGGTGCTCATGAGTGGTCCTACCCACCAGAGCATTGTGCAACTTTTAAGCATGTGATTTCAAGCATGTTCCAGCTCAAAGGTAAGCCTGTATTTCAGGTGTTGAACAGCCCAGTCTTTGCTCATCCAGCTGTCTATGAAAATCATGGGAGTTTGCTTAGATCAGGATTTGCTTTTGGCCCACATATTTGTGTTAGGTACAAAAGACAAATGAAATGTAAGGCCCCAAAGTGGGGCCTAGAAAGGAAACTCTTGAGTGCAGGCTCTGCTCAGGGACCTTTTCAGGACTGAGAGTTGATTCCCTCACAGGAGAAACAGAGAAAATCTGAGGTTCCCTTCCAAACACTGCTGTTTTTCAAACTGCAGATATGCTGGAACAGCAAACTCCCACAGAGAGGTACCCCAAAATAACCCCATGCTCAGTATAATGGCAGAATCATGACAAGACTCTCCAAGAGTGCCTTCTCCCTGTGAGGTGGTGAGGAGCTACGATGATGCCCTTCTACATCTCCTCTGCCTCCCCATGGTCCTGCAGGCTCCTGAAAATGTGGCCCCTTTTCTGGCTGTATGGAAAGGGTGCAACAGGCTGCTCACGTGGTGCTCTTTTTGAGGTCAACAATCTCTACCCTCTCCAGGAACCAGCTTGGCCTAGAACCAGAGTTATCATGGCGGATCCGCAGCTTCTTGAGCTCACCCAGGTCAATGGCCTTGATGGTGAACACATCCACCTGTGTGGAGGCAAAAGGCAAATGACTGTGTTTCCCAAGGGTAATCTTTTTTCTCCATTAAAGAATAGGTGTTTGCAAGTTCTCTGTGCACTGTTTGGGTAGATGTAAAAAAATTACTACAGAGCTGTAAGGTCTCCCATTGACATCAATGCTTGGCTCCCACACGATAGTAACAGCCACGGACCTGCACAATCCTTCACTCCTTTCTTTACTGTGTCCCAGTTTCAGCATCCTCTAGGTTTAACTCATCTCTTCTAAACAGCATTCTTTTCAGGCTTAGTATTTTCCCACAGACTGAATCTGGAACTGGACACAAATATATCGACTCCACAGAAATTCCCCCCCCACACCTCCATGTAGAATCATGGAATATCCAGAGTTGGAAGGGACATATAAATATCAGAGTCCAACTCCTGAGTCTGCACAGAATAGTGTCAAAGTGTAGCCCATCTGCTTTATTTTAACCCACAGAACACCTTCCATTTGTCATTTACCACAACCAAGAGGTTCATTTATTAGCTGTGCTAGTGTGACAGGATGGTCCTTGTTATCGTAATAGTTTAAACATCTTAATGTGATTAATATGTTGGTAGACTTTAGGTTTGTACTCCCAAGAGTAAAGAGCATTACATTTGCAGCTTGGAGCTCTTCCCACTGAATGAAAAACCAAGCTGCAGTTTCACTTCTGCCAAGCTCATAAATCACAGCTAACAGCTTATTTAACAACCCTAGGCTCTTTTTTTGTGATTGCAAGTTTTCCACAGCTGTTTTTTTTCCCATAATTTTTTGTTATTCAGAATTATTCCTTGAAAAACTCCTGGCTATAGTAGTAGCTTGTTAATCATTCATAAATTTTTTATGGCAAATACTCAATCTACAAGAGACTTTCTTTAATTGGATTGGATTATAATGTAATTATAGCACACTGTGTAGTATTGCTTTTATTCCCTGACTGGCTGAGTAGAACATTTAGAACCGTATTTGTAGTCTAAATACTGATGTACTTGAGCTGCTTCACAAATACTCTCCAGTATTAAATTAAAGTTTGTGGTTTACTAGTACTCCAGGAAGGAAACACTATTTCCAGAATGTTTACAGGAAGCAGATGCAACAAGTGACTCCAATGTGGAATTGGTGTTCAGTTTATTATTCAAATTAATTTTCCCTGGAAAATGTTTTGAGGCATTTTGCTTCATATGATATATTTTGAAAATATAGCATGTTTGAGCTTTAAGCTGGAACAAGCTAAGTCTTGCCAGGAAGAGACTGTCTTGGATGGCCAGCATGACAACTGAGAGAACTCTGCCAGCCACCTTCTTGTTTGAGTGAGTTGAGTTCATGCATTACCTGCCCCTTTTCAAACTTGTTGAGGTTATTCGACCTTTTCAGCTGGCGCTCACCCGTGTCTCCTCTTTCCATGCCATAGATGCTCAAGAAGACATTAGCATCCGTCCCAGCCCCCCACATAGTCCCAGTGAGAACACGGACCTCGTACGTATTTTCTGCAAGTAAAATTGTAAAGGCAGATCAGGAGGAGCCCAGAAATAGTCGTATTGCATCACATCTGTGGCTCACCATGAAAGCACATAACCCCAAAATGCCAGCACAGAAAGATTCTGTCTGGAGTTTGTTTGCATCTATCTTAAAACATGAGCAGCTCCATCTTCCTCCAGCCCCTGTAATTAACCATATCAATAGTTACAGCTTGTTAAACTCCCAGCCATAGTGGTAACCAGTTGACTCTTGACCCATGTGCCCCGTAAAACATATGGAAAATCCTTTTAGATAGTCTAATTTCAGGCTGTCTCCTCCATCCTCTGCCTTAGTTTAGCCACCATCCTCTTCCTCCCCAGTGCTGATCAACCAAAGCACAGGGTAAGCTACACTGCAGGCCTGAGGCAATGGGATGGTTCTGGGGCATAAATGGTCCTGTCAAGCACCACAGTGTGGTTACTGTCCTTCATGCAACTGCTGGATGCACACACATACATGCATTCCCTCTGATATTTACCCTCTAAGTCAGATTCTCCATCAGGCACCAGCTCCACTACAAGCTCCTTATCCCCTTCATCTCTAGCTAACCAGCGGCGTGCCACAAATGTGTAGACATCAATTCCGTCGTCCACCTTGGTCTCCTCTTCTTCCTCCTTCTTTTTATCAGTCTCCTCTGCTTTCATGGCAAGTCGCTTCAGTGTGACACTTTCCAGGAACCAGCCATCCCCGATGCCTGAGCCATCATGGCCTATCCGAATCTTATAAATCTTGCCAACATCTGCAGCCTCCCTCTGCCGCCAAGGAAAAGTCAGCACTCAGGAGGATATAAAAGACATCTTAATTTCATAAAGCGTATTCTTATAAAGGAGCACTGCCTCTATCACCCAAAACATCTAAGCAAGGATAAGAACATTTTTTTAATGCAAGTTTACCTTTACTTTTTCCTTCCTGTTTAATTATTTCATACTTTCCATTACCAAATCTCATCTGAACAGACTGAGCTGAGGACATTCAGGGCAACCATGGTGAGGATTGGAGCTGACTCCATATTTACTGGGCTCCCTACTTCCCCACTGCTCTCCTCACCAGTATTGTCTTTGTGTTGGCATTAAAGGTGAATAATGTCAAAATATCATACAAGCTTTTTACAAATTCTGAGTGCAAGCCGTCTTTTGAAAATTAATGATAATATGCATTTCATTCTTAGCACAAGACATGAACCCAGCAAGAAGCAATAATGGTAAAGCAAAACCACAGTTAACTTGGACTCCTATAACCTAATCTCTGACACAGACTGTGAGTTTGGATTATCTGTCCAGAATACTACCTAATGAAGTTGGATGGAAGGTTTTCCTCCACGCAATCCTTCAACATCCGATGACTTCTTTCTGATGATTGCTTATGCTGTTAGGCAGTGTTTATATTATAAAACTTGCAAACATTTGCTTCAGGCTGAAATCTGGAACTTGGCATCTAAGGTTTTATTCTAGAAGCATTTTGCAGATTAAAACAAAATCAATTGTACACAAGATGCTTATCAGAAAACTAAAATTGATCTAGCTGTCCTGACATAAAGAATGGGTCTTTTCTTACATGGCTTGACCCTTAGATTTGCTGTAATCATCCTGCATACTTTGTCCATAACTGGTGGATTTCCTATTAGCATGTAGCTCACGGAATCTTATTTTTGCCTCTATCTTCTTGTAAATATTCATATAATGAAAGAGATAGAGGATCTGTCTATTAATGCTTCAGAGCTTCTGCACTTTGTGCTTAATAAAAATCACAGAAAATGGACACAACTTGCAAGTCCAGCAATAAATACCTGAGAGAGGATATCCTTACATCCTAAGGATATAAGGATATGTAAACAGAACACTGTATATATGGCTTTATTATAAATCTGATATTAGCTAGTAGCTTTCACTCATAAGTTTTGGAAAGCTTATTTCCTTTAAAATCAGAGAAACCTAATCTTAAAATTATAGAGTTTAAAAAAAGCAAACATTTATAAGGTTCTAGTCATCTTAAATTCCAAATAACTCATTAAACATGGATAAATATCTGTAACTGCATTTTGTAAACAAGAATATGAGGCAGACGGAGGTGAATGGATCTCAGAAATACACATTACAAAACTGGTCAAGTTGTGGATAAAGGCACCTCCATTTGACGAGTGACAGCAAGGATACCCCAGTCTTCATGATTCAGGAAAGCTTCAGCAACTAGCCCCAAGCTTAACTGTGATGAGATGGATCCCACCTCTGTGGGTTTGCAAATTCAGATGGAGACCCAGGCACCACTGTGCTGAGCTTTGTACTGTGAGCACATATGACAGATGTGCCTTAAATCCTGCTTCCATCAGGACTCTGTGCTTTACTGTCCAGATGTCAGTCTTTCCCTCAATACAGAAGGATGTGGCTTTGACATACCCTGACAGCACATCCTGTCCTTGCTCTGACCCCACATCAGCATAAGAGCTAAGGCCATTCCTTTCCCCCAGACCTTGGTTTCTCTGGACATAAAGCCCAAGCAAACAACAGAGAAAAGAATGTTGGTCCAACAGGGAAAGCATGCTCGACCCCACTGTGATGCACACCTACTTCTCAGCCTCATCTGAGAAGGTCCTGGGCTCATCTCAGCCCAGGACGCTGCACCCAGGTCCTGGCTTACCCACCTGAGCTAATTCCAAGGCTTCTCACCCCTGCAAACACTCCGTTTACTGCTGAGCTGATCAAAAGAGGTGCAGGCTCTGTAGTATAAACCTAAATTCTGGCCAGACAGATAGCTGGAGAAGTGTGCTGTACACTTTTAGTGCTGTGACTGTGCAGTGCTTGCTGGAACAGTACTACAGGCAGTAACATGCATGGGGCAGTCACACATTTACAAAAATTACAGCTGCAAACTTCTTCAGGGTTGGCACATGTACCTGTGGTTAATGGCGTGTGTGACCATAAAAAACCACAATTACTCATATTCTTATACAGGTTTCTTTCCCCAGCTAGACAATGAAAAGGGACAGTAATGTGTGGTCAGGCCCAAAGTATAGGCCTTTTGAGATCTAACATAAGTACCTCCTTTTGAAAGTAAATATAAACAGATAATGCTGTTAGGTCATGTACTTCAATGACATCCTACTAGCGCTTCAGAAGATGAAAGCATTTCCAGAAAACACAAAACTTCCCAAAAATAAAAACACAAAACCTCCCCAAAAATGTGGATAGACGACAGCAGATACTGTCAGACCTGCAAATTTCTTAAATAGTCTATTTTTCTTTCTTTTTTTTTTTTTTTCTGAATGGAATTAGCTCAAACTAGGTTTTACTTGGGTCATGTCTCAGTTTTGGTTGATCCTTTCTTTCCCTTCTTAGAAGTGGCAGTAACTACCTTCATCATACCTTGAAGATCTCTGTGGCTCCCCGTTCAAAGTTGTTGGATCTGTTATCTAAGATGATCACTTCTGTTTTGCCAGCCTCACCATAAATCTGCATGAAGACTTTGGCATTGGTGCCTGCAGCTCGCACGCTTCCAGTAACTACAGTCACCTCATAGTTTATCACTAGTCCAAAAATAAAGCAATTAAATCAGCAGAGAAAGTCAGATAGCAACATTCCCAAGGACTGAGGTTCAAAGTTAAATTACCTTGTCTTAACAAATGACCACATAGCTGACCTTTTGCACTTATCCAGACCAAATGTGAGATAACAGAACTCTTCACTAAGATCTAACCTAATAGGTTTCCTTTTACAAGCATTAAGCCAGTGTCACAGGGGTGTAAAACTGAGCCTTAAAAGGGAATACAATTTCAATATTAACAATAGAGTGGTTAAATTATCTCCTTAGTATAATAAAAGGAAGGGAATTACAGAGAGCAGGGGAAAAACACAACACTGTCTCAGAATCTGAAGAAAAATTTTAGCCATCACCTTAAAAGAAAATGGATCTACTGATAGAAGTCAAGTGGGCAAATAGGGATTTGGTCTTATTTATCAAACAGCTTCTTCCTTCCAGGAAACAGGACAGAACATGTGCTGGTGTAGTACTGGGGAATGTAAATGAAATAAAGGACTGGGGCAGATAGACAAAAAAAAAGTAGAACCCACTGATAATTCAAGGAAGAAACACATTGTCTTTTGTTGTGTTACACTGCCCAGGATCTAAATTTTTCAGACAGTGTTAGGAAATTGAGATTAAAAACTCAGTAATGTTTTTCCAATTGTTTGAGAAAACATGAGAATAACTTACTTCCCTCACCAACATAACCTCATATGGATGGGGACTTTTTGGTTTTAGTGTCTAACACAGTGGTGACCTTGTCCTCAAGCATAGTAGTAATACATATTTAGTCCTAGCTATAAACCAGCATGGGTTCTCTTACATTTCTCAATAGGCACAATCTCACTTGGGTAGAGCTCCACCTCCACTTTGCCATCAGCCTCATTTTTATCAAGCCATCGGTTGCAGGGGAACATGTACTGCCTTCCCTGGACTGGAACCATGATCTGGACACTGGCCAGGAACCAGCCAGACCGGAGACCCACGTTATCATGTCCAATCCATATTCGGTTGATCTTTGAAAAAGCAAACAAAAACTAAGGGCAGGAAAAAACCCCGACACAAAAGAATTTACTTACTATGTAACAATCTCCTTGCCCTAGCACACTGTTCTTCCACTGTATTCATGTAAATAATGTATATAAGTATTTAACTTTAAACTTAAATCACTCTTCACATAACTGCATGTTTGTTAGACTGCTGATGTAATAGTCTATATAAGATGTGTTTCTTAATACCCAATGCTGAGGTCGGAGACTCTTCACCACATTCAATCTTCAGTGTTCTATTGATTCAGAATTCAGACACTTGCAAGAAGTACGGAGCCACCCGCAATTAATTCTTACCTTCCCAATATCCATCATATCTAGAGTAAACTCATCCACTCGACCACGTTCAAAATAATTGCCTAGATCATTATCGGAGACTAAGAGAGGCTCTTTGCTGGAGACTGCTTTATCACCGTAGAGTCTGATAGAAACTTTGGAGTCTGAGCTGGCACCAGGGACATCTCCCGTCTTCACGCTGATGTGATAACTGATATCTAAAGTGAGATTGATGTACAAAACACAGATGAATGAATGGCATTTCCAGAGCTCAGCCAGGCAATTAGCTTCAAAAAAGATATGGAGAAAAAAGGCTCTAGATGCAGACACAGAAAGGGGTTTGCCCTCCATTCATACATTCAGCATCTTAGGGCCACACTGAAGAAGCTGTCACACCTTGGAGTTATTTACCAAATCATAAGAGGTCCAACAGTTACATTAGTAAGCATAAAATGTTCTGTATGCCTCACTCTCAGTGTTAGATAATTACTCAAGCCATAAAAATCCGCTTAGAAAGTGAAATTATTCCATTGGTTTTTATACTTATGATCTAATTCAATAACTTTTACTTGTTGTTTTCTAAAACAAAATTAAAGCATCTCAACTTGAGCTCTGCAGGCACTGTTTTCTAAAGAAAATTCTAGCATTGAAGCCCTGGTTCTCTAGAAAAGGGCAATATAATCGTTTTGGTGATTTTCTTTTGTGAACACAGTTATTCAATGGAATTTACTAAAGCAGTGGCAATTCAAGACCCTTCAGAGAAAGCTATGCAAAAAAGCAGTTCTTAAACAAATTACAAAATCAAAGGTTTTTTCTACACATATAATATTGTGATTATGCTCTTTTATACAAATTAATCCCATTCACAAACTAGAATTTAAGTCAGTCATTTTCCCCAGAGTGACCTACTGCAGCTTCTTGCATAAGCATGGCAAAAAAACTCCATTAGATTTACTGTGAACTGACACGAATTATTAAGAAGAATAAAGCAAGAAGATACATTCATGCACGGCTCAAACCCAGACAATTTCCCCAAGCTAAACTCACTTTTTAGCACTGGTGACTCCCCAGCAGGCACTAGTTCTCGGACAATCTGACCATCGTCTTCATTTTTGTCAAGCCATCTGGTTTACAAACAGAAGTAAGTTATCTTCGAATAATTAGCACCTGTTAGACCTTTCAGAATCTAGGCTGGTTCCACAGATAGTCCAAATCCACACCAGAGTAAAAAAAGATTTTTTAACAGGGTTCTGTATCTCTCTTAACTTAGCAGGAGCCTGATCAGACCATATGGCAGCCACACTTTAAACCACCATTTCTCCAAGAAGAGAGATCATGAGAGCCCTGCTTGCAGTAGATAAATCACTGCTATGATGTCCATCTGTCTGGAAAGCACAAACTTTATAACTGTAAGTTATTCCTGTGAATGGACAGTCTCAGTCTCTTGAAAGCATTGACCTTTATTGACCAGAAAGACTTGCAGCCTTTATTATTAAACACCTTGATTGCAACCTTTACAGCATCTAAGTTACTAACCCCCCCTTTTTTATCAGTCTTTGCTTACTCCACTTTATCATGTCTTTTCCCTTCCTATCAGATAAGTATATATATCCCTTTTTTCTCCACCAGGAAGGGGATGAAATATGTTGTTTCCATATTCAAGGTTGGGTATGTGGAAGCAGCTGGCACCAGCAAAAAGGAGGGATTTCCTGTTTTTCTCAGCATTACTCTAATGAACCAACTAGACTAATTAAGAAAAAGAGCTGGGCGCAAAGTAAATGATATCAAGGGAAAAAATTCTGAAAGGAAAATCATAAAATCACAGAATGGCTTGGGTTGGAAGGGACCTTAAAGATCATCTAGTTCCAACCCCCCTGCCATGGGCAGGAGCACCTTTCACTAGACAAGATGACTCCAAGATCAACACAGCCTGGTATTAAATATTTGCAGGGATTGGGAATCCACAGCCTCTCTAGGCAACCTGTGCCACCCTCTCAACAATTTTATAGCGAATAATTTCTTCATAACATCTAATCTAAACCTGTCCTCATTCAGCTTGAGATCATTCTCCCCTTGTCCTATCACTACATGCCCTTTCCAAAAGTCCCTCTCCAGTCCCCTCCAAAAGTCACCTCCCAAAAGAGAGGGGAACCAGTTTCTAGCACGGTTACCTTCAAAGCTGCTCCTTCAGCCTCAGGGATGAAGGATTTACCACACTAAACCCATCATATGCCATACAGCAACCATTGTAGCACAACAGCAAGGGCCCTGGTAGGAGTTTCTCACTTTCCACTTCAAACCCAGACTTTTGCAGCACTCATAATATTCCTGTAAGCGTCTGCTTAGGGGCAGGTTTCCCACAGTGGTGCTATGAAAGCAGGAGTAGTTCCCAGAATGCCCACTGTTCCCAGGTACGCATCTGTGTGCAGCAGCATCTTTTGCAGCTAAAAACACTGCTTAAAAGCATCAGGGGCAAGAAAAGGACAAGTAAGCAAGCTCTGGTGGGTTATGCAGGGTGTTTAAATGACTCTAATAACTCCCAGAACAATAAAGAGGGAAAAACAAATCCTCAAAAATTGTTTCTTTTTGAAGGAGGTCACACTGCTATGTGAATACCAGCTATGATACTCACATACACAGCTATGTGAATGACACTAGAATACAGCAGACCTTCTTCTGCACAAACATATGCACCCCGAATGGTCTATAAGCTTCCTGTAATGTGACCATGCTACATGCATTCTTCTTGTCTGACCCTCATACCAACAAGGAGGGGAGCTTGCTTCTGTTTTAAGTTTCCATTTTGTATTTGATTGGTGAGTTAGCACATATGGAAACCAGAAAATCACCCTCATAACAGACATCTGGGGACATGAACAAATGCCTACTGAGTGCTGGATCAAACCTATGACACCTTGCTGGTAATGAGCCAGCACAGCCTACCAACATGGCCAGTTGGACCAAGAAGGAATGAGATATTTTGGAACACCAAGGATGGTCTGTTTTCATTTTGTCCATATGAAGGAATATAATATACCCTTCTGTCTTACCACACAGAGGAAAACAGTAAGCACAAAGAAACCATGCCAAAAAAAACCACCCCAGCACCAGGAAAAGATCCAAACTTGAGCTGGAGTTAGCCAGGCCTGAAAGCACTAGCAGCAATGTTCTCATGCAAAAGAGGTGCATAGAGTCCCACACACAGACACACATCTCTACTCCCAGCACCCCTTTAAGCTTTGACGGGTTGTTGGGTATGCAGTCTACCACATATTCTTCCATTTCACCATGTAAAGCAGGTGGCCATGTGCAGGTGGTGTGAAAAGGACTGAAAGCTAAGGGAGTCACCATGAAGGTCATGAACATGTGATGATCACACAAACACCATGTAAGGGCATCATATGTGATGTTGTGCCTCAGAGGAGGCTGACAGGTGTAGTAGGATGGAGGAACAGAAAAATCTGTCAGGAAGAGCTTGAAATTTATGGCAAGAATTGGACAAGGGTAAAGTGCAAGGAGAGTAGAAGAGAAGCATGCTAAGACATCACATTGTCTAAGAAAGGAAGCCTTTATTGGTATTTTGAGGTTGGGGGATTTTTATTTTACCTGTTAGAATGGGTCCTTAATACCTTTGTATCATGTAGTTCTTGATGCTGGCTCAGGATTCACGTCCTTGAACAGGTACCCAATGGCTAGGGGATCACATCATCCCAAAAGTCAAGATCCTTCTGCATACATGGATGCTAACTGGGAGGACCCACAAAATTTGAGCCTGAACTCCACCACCCCTGGACCAGTAAATTCAGCATGTTCTTCAGAAAGGCAGAGGCTCACAAAGTAGACACACTTCTGTTCTCCTGCTGCTTATTATTTTTTGTGCCCTGCAAGCTGCTGTTTCTGTTGCCAGTGGACATGCTGTTGTTTTCTGTCACCTTCGCCATTGCCAGTGTTTTAGGGATATTTGGGTTGAATCTGGGTGAATCACTTCTAAGCCAAGGTGACAGGATAAAAATACATCCCACAAGAAACAGATCTCTGTGTGCAAATGCTAACTGCTTCAACAGTGAGGAGAAGTGAGATAAATGAATCTGAAAAGAAGAACCCCTAGATAAAGAAATTCCCTCTATCAATGTTGGTAGCTACTGATGACAAGAGAAGGAGCATGTCCCGGACTGGAGGAGGAAGAGGGAGGTTTATCAGAAGAAATGACTCTAGGCTTCTTAAATTGTTTCAGCCAAAAGAACAGCCAAAGTGTCAGAATCACTATTTTTTCAAGAAGATTACTGACAGAGGAATTATTTGGATGAACAATTCCACTGCATTCCTTCCCTTCAGCACATATACAAAATATCCTAATTTTACTTCAATGTAATTCCAATGGCATATCACTAAGCAGCAGATTGCAACCAGGGGTTTATAGCCTTACACTGAACGCAAAAGGATTGACACATTATAAACACATCAGGCTACAGAAAATAGTTTTCAGTGTAGTGCCATCATGTTCCTAGTACCAAAGGCCTGTCAAAGGCTTTTACTTTATCAGAGCTTCCATGCAGTTTCTGTGGATGTAATTCACATGCCACTGCGGGTTTTGTAACAGTATAGTCATGTCATGTCCTGTGTCACACCCTTGGTTTTAAAGAGATATTTTCTGACCAATAAGTCAAAAAGGACACAAATATTACATGAAAGCCATTTCAGAAAGAATTTCTGGAGAATCAGAGTGTCTGGGGAGCACTGCAAAAAATATGGTATTACATCATATATAACATTTGAAATCCAGCCTGCATGCAATTAGAATAATTAGCATGTCCATTACATTTAAAGACACATATGTGTCTTTAAATATAAGCTATATGCACGAATGTGTAAAATAAATGACATTCTAGTTTATTTTGCAGCAACAAAAGGAGGTTTCTCTGGCTCCTTCGTATGATGAACACTTTTGGCATTTGATTGAATAAATGTTCTTTCACAAGAGACTCCTAGTGCATCATGCCATTCACGGTCTGTCTGTTGTTCTTCAGGAACTAATGATATTCCCTTATGCTTGTACTGGAAAAAATTAGGATGGTGAGGGTCATATGCTTGCAAATAAATTTAATGAATTATTATTGAAGATTTCAGTGGAGCTATGATGATTTACAGAATGTAAAACACTCTCCTATCACAAACTCACAACTTTACCTGATTGAAAATTTATTTCTGACTGAGGCGTAAATACTATAAAAAGTAGGTTGTTTTAGAGAATGTCAGCTAGTCCATTCTAGGACTTCCTGAGAGCTTTGAGGAGAAAATGAAATCTGAAAAACTCAGTTCTGATCTTCAAAAGGGTTTGGCTCCAGTTCTGGTGTGAAAAGTGAATGCCTTAATTTTGAACTTTCCTGCCATATTCATCATCAGAATTCCTAAAACACATCGGGTATTATAAGGTATAAATTGCTCAGTTATGCCACTGAATGACTCAGTGTTCAGTCCCTGAAAGCATGGATATTATAATGCCATGTGGTTGTAAGGGAGGAATAGTACTGCAGTGCATCCAAGTGATGTACTAGTAATTCTGCAAATAATGCTTGGACAAGCCACTTGCATTTACTTCTCAAAAGCATAGATAAAATGTCCACTTTAAAAATCACTGACTCTAAGACAACTGGTTAAAGAGTTGAAAGCACAGGCCTGGGAGTCCTTATTTCTCAATGTTCTTTCTGAACCTGACACAAACTCACAATTAATCCACTTAGCTTCTCTTTATCTCTGCTGGCTCCCTTGTACAACACAGACAGTTCTCCTCATAGAGCTCTTGTGATTACTAGGTAATAGATGATCCTATAGAGTCATAAAAAAGCTTTCAAATTAAAAGGCAAAACATAACCATATGTATGAACATGTAAATAACAATAACAGAGACTTCAAGTAGTTCTATGTAATGAAGATCTATAAGGGTATCTTAAAGACATAAGTTACAGTGAAAGCTGGTTCGCTAGCTCTCTGCTAGAGTGTCTGCTCGACACATACTGGTGCAGTCCAGTCTGTACAGAGGTAAGAAGCCTTTGAAGCTTTCTGCACAGGTGAGATATGTTTCTGCTGGAAGGCATTTTGTTCTCTAATTGTCTAACGGTAGATAAGTGGCAGAAGGTCAGTGGACTAGCTTTCAGTAATAACACAGAAGCAAAATGCGTTTTCTGTAGACCATGCAGCTGTGCTTTGTAGAAGACTGGAGCTGGAGATACAGGCAGTGAGAACAACATGTCTACTGGCCAAGCAGAAAGACAATCTTCCCTGTCCCCTGGATGGAGTCTCTAACTAACCTCACTTGCATTGCCTCTTCTTGGCTAAGTCTTCTTCAACATCCTGCCTCTGAAGAGGCAGGTGAAGCAGGATTCTCTGAGCTCCTGCCAAAGCAGCGAGGACATTAGTTTTCCTTGGCCTACAGGACTGGAGAAGAACATCCAAACACTGCAGGTCATGGAGACATTTATCCCTTATATGGAGGATGCAGTGGGTGAGCACCTTTACCCTCAGATATCTCCAGACTCCATGACGACACCCGTATACTGCGATGATGTCTCAGTCTCTCAAGAGACCCAGGCATCAAAGATAGTGAGAGGGAGCAGTTGTCCCTGTGTTTGATGGTGATCAGTCATGTTACCTTCTCAATCTGAGAGGAAAAGATAATGCTGACACAAGGACAGCAAATAAAGTCACACAAACAACACTGATACCACTTGGAAAAAGAGACATTTAGAAAGATAAGAAGAGTGGAATTCCATCACTGGTGACATGAAGTCTGAATGCACTCCATGAACATTCTGGGGATAAGGTCTTAGGTTTTCTTCCTCCCTCCTTTTTCAGTCCCTGGCCTGAGTGAAGTGGCCTCTACACTCCGATGTTCCTGGTTCTCAGGTGTAAAGCTAAGGAGAAGGACATCATCACTCAAAGCTGAGAGAAGTGACCCAGTTAAACAGTCACGTAAGGAGACAATTCAAAAGGAAATCTTTAAAATGAGCCAGCTGCATGGTGCAGTTAGACACAGAAATAGCTTTGAGGAGTCTGAGCTAAACAGCTCTTCATGTGGACACTTCATGTCCAAGGAAAAACCTGTCCAGCTTGCTTAACTCAGTAAAACATATGGTTGTTAAATATGGATCAAAAGGCAGCAATGACTATGTGGTGGTTTGTGCTTTGAAAAGGAAGACACTGTCTTGCTTTTTCACAACCAAGATGACATTGCATCTGCTGCTTTGTGCTGTCTCCCTGGTGAGTTTACTCTCTGTTGTGATGTGGCTTTAGCAGTGCAGAGAGGCTGGGGCTGGCTCCTGGTTTGTATTTGGCTGACTCCCCTAATTATAGTGGAGTTCTTCCAAGACAAGAGGCAAGTAACCAGCTTAGAGACTTTGCCTTTGTTTGCAATTTAAAAGTAATTGTGTTTGTTTTACAATTCCACTTGCCCCCAGGAGATGCCAATTTAGAACTGGTACTGGATGTTGTTAAACAGAGCTCAGTGAATGTCCATCCTATAGGGTGGACATCCTGTGAAGGCAAGTAGGACTTTACAGGACCTTGACCTACACTGGAGTTAATCTCTTATGTTTTAACCCAGTTGTCGCTAGCTTGTGCTGCAACGTTGAGGCAGACCCTAGTCAGTGCTGGGACAGGTCATGCATCTTGTTCCCCATGAGTAGCCTCAGTACAGCATATTTCTTTTGGCCACTTGATTGTCTAGGGAAAAGAAGAATACATTTATAACCCACCCTTAAGGGTAAGTTACAGCCCTCTGTTCTACCACTATCTCTGTCTGCATGGTAGTCATTTCCCCTCATGCAAGGAACTCTTGAGATGGCAGCATCACAATTTTGCATTCTCCCAACACAAAAATAGCATCCCATTGTACCTGAAAAGATGGGATGTGCATGTCAGGGACTGGAATCTTGTTCCACACATGCAATAACACCAGCAGATTGCAGAGTGTGTTTCTTCAGCAGGCAATTGTAGTGACACTGGATGTGGTACTGGAAGGTTGTGTTTTATCTTTTGGAAATTCTCTGCATTAGTGAGCAAATTGCTGAGAAATTCACAATTCTTATTGCGGTTCGTTTCTGTATCTTAAACCTCCCAAACCACAGTCTTTACTTTCAGGCTTAGGAAAAATAAATGAATGAACAAATAAATAAAAAGGATTAAGCTGTGCTCAGAAAATTCCAGTCATGGACCAACAACTAGGCTCTTCAAATTCTGGCAAATGCATAGACAGAGGCATAATTTGCAAGCATTGCTTCGGGTACCTGTTGCAGGGGAATTCCACAGCCTCACTTTCTGGCTGTCCTTCTTCCCTCACTATCACTTTGGCAAGGTACCAGCCACTGCTTCCTCCTTTGCCATCATGCCCTATCCTCACCCTCCTCACCTGCTTCAGCGTTACTGCTTCAATGAAGAATTCATCGGCCTTTGAGAAGGAGAAGAAAAAAGGTAAGGTAATATTTCTCCTTAAAAGCAAACAAACAACCCAAATTTATTATTGCAATCAAACCAACATCATCAGCACTCTGCAAGATAATTCTTCATGGGATGAAGGAAAAATTATGAATTTACCAAAGGATGAAAGCTCGAATAATTGTGCTAGATGTATAACATTATATTTGTAAATATATCATCTGTCAGCATTTTAAATCTCCCATGTCATTGCATGCTCTCCACAACTGTAAAAAAAGAGAAGTAATTTGATTATTAAGAAATTCATACAGAGAGGCAGAAAATCCAAGTTCAGTCCCTTGCTCAGATATCAGCTTTCTGGGAAATTGGGAGCAGATCACTTCAGACCAAATCTACAGCGGTACTTAGAGGTGCAGTTTGAAGACATTATTCTGTGTTAAATTCAGATGACATGGATTACAGAGCACAGGTTATACCACCTGATTTCCTGGCATGCCAGTACGGGCAGGCCTGCGCAGGGGTGTTTCCAGATACTCCATGAGTTGTGTTTGGAAGCTGATGTGAACCTAACCCAGTAGCTAAATACCATTAATACCCCACAAGATACAGGGATTTTATGTTTGGGATTTTTTCCCTTCCCTGGAAAAGGGCTCAAACCACCAAACTACAGAGTAGCCCAAGTGGCCACTCAAGACCAGATCCCTCTTACACAAGAGCATGCTGGGACCAGCAGTTCACAATGGCTGAAGGAAGATAAATATGCTCAAAGAGCGAGTTGCTCCTCTGGGAATCTGACCAGACAAGTACCTATGGCACATGTACAGAGCAAACACATGGCACATGCATGGTAAATACTGGGTGTACACACTGCATATCTGCAGCATATAGCCCAGCAAAGAGACTTGGCTGCTGTGGTTACCATCTGGCTGAGATGCTGTGCTATGTAAGAGAAAGTTAACCACTGTGATTTAGTTGTTCTTCCATCTCCCAAAAGCACATATGGCAGTAGCATATATGCAGCTAGCTCCCAGAAAGCGTGGTGGCAATGCAATATTTGTGTAACTATTAAAATAATCATAACTATTTTATCTTTCAGAAATTCAGACTGATCTTTACAATAAAGACAACTAAACATACTGCCACTGTTTAAAGTGTTAATGATGGGCTTGAAAATGTCAGTGTTGCCTACATACTCAAAACTGCTGAATTGGGGATTTAAGGCATTGAAACCTCACAGAGTCAGTCTAAGTCAATGAAGTTTAATTCATTAGGCCTGATGCTCATCTTACTTATTAATGGCTGATATAAATTAATGAGGAAGTAACTAACTGGAACTACAACAGGACAAACACCTAATTTAGAGGCGTCTTTAAATCTTACTTTCTACACAGGCTGTTAGTTTGCATCTGCAGGCAAAATTTTTAAGTTAAATTGGTAATCAAGATACTATTGGTTTAAGTGGCTGTAGATTAGAGACCACACTTACTTAGCTACATTTCTTTTTAACAGGGTATCTGAGTTAATCAGTGTAGATATACTCATTCAGACTCTTGAATATACAACCTCTAAGTTTATCAGGATCAATTCCTAAACAGCTTCCAATTCATTCACCAGCTTTCAGCTCCTTGCAGCAGGAGACCAGTTTTCCATTAATAGGATCCAGTTTGGTTTATGTCATCTGCATATTATTAATCATAGAATCTGATTTCCAAAATTTTTTCCCTTTTTTTCCTCTTTCTTGTAAGCTAGTCTATAACTCACATTTGTGAGTAAATATAGAATCATCATAGAATCACAGAACAGTTTGTGTTGGAAGGGACTCTAAAGATCATCTACTTCCAGACACCTTCCGCTAGACCAGATTGCTCAAAGTCTCATTCAACTTAGACTTGAACTAGGATGAACCATACCATAAAATAACCATCATCTGTGTATTAAATATTTGTCTTTTCTGTGAACCAAGCATCTTTCTTTGGAACGGCATTGAAACAGTCTTCAAAACACCACAAAAACATGACTCATTTTGCTGCCATTTTGACAAAACTAGACTTCACCAAATGACAAAACGCCATCCTTTATAGCTTGGACCCACCTTTTAAACCTAAAATATCTATAATGTAAGCTCATAGGCAAAAAATAAGATGTTAACAATGTCCGTGTCTGAAAACCTTTATACCATTTAGAAGCAGAATGGACTCTGACACTTGCTAAATGACACGTGTTTCCACATACAGATCTTACAGGTACAAGAAGTACTTGATGAAAGTTCATTTAAAGTCTAAAAAACCTCAGATATTTCAGTGAATAACTGGAAATTCTAGACATTCAAAGGCAAATCCAATGTGCTAATGCATATTTCAGAAGCCTAAATTCAATAGTCTATTTTGAAAACGTGACGTCCTTTTCTCTTCATATTCTTTCCACTCTGAACCTTCAATCAAATAATGACACACGAGATGGGAAATCTGCAGAGTTCTGCAATCAGATTCTCAAAATCTCCTCCTGGAGATATTGATTACATTTTACCAGTCTAAGCTGGACCCTAGAGATCCAAAATTGGATACATATTAAGTAGGTTGACCCCATAGATCAGATCAGCACACTGTTTGCTAGCTGATACTGCCAATGATGCAAAGGCTTTAACTGCAATTTGACTTCATTATCTCCAGTTTTCCAGGGAACAAGCTCTGTCTTCACTTCAAGCCATTATCAGCCACATCCATTCAGGACACAGACATACAAAAATATATTGAAAACCCATTTGAAAATAAGACACAAAAATTGAGTGTAGCGTGGTTGTGGGAGACTGGAGGAAATATAAAGGAAATATATTAGGCCTTTCATTCAGAGTTTCACATTAAATAAGATGCTTTTTCTTCCTTTGCCCTAGGAGCCAGAATTTTGCTATATTAGACAGAGGGGGAAAGGCTCCATTTTGTTCTTGGAAGATTTCCTGGAAACTTTCCCCAATCTAAAGATGCAATTTCAGTAGTCAGTACTTAGCTGGGGAGCAAACCAAGAAACTCTTTTATGAACATACAGACATCAAGCAGGGGCACAGTGTCCCCGATGATGCTCAGTCAACATGATTTATTTCTGCCTACTGCCCTAGCCTGAGCTGGCAAGGAAATCAGCCAAGTTTACAAACACACATCATAAAAACAGAAATTGCAAACCCCATCTTAAGGATCTGCTGTGTGAACTTACATTGCCTTTTTCAAATTTGTTGACACTGTTGAGGCAGTTGTAGAGAAAGCGCTCTCCCGTGTCTCCCTGGTCACCGATGAGGCAGATAAAGACATTGGCATCTGTACCACTCCCGCTCACTGTCCCAGTGCAAACTGTCACACGGTATTTTATCACTGAGGAGACATAAATTAATAAAACAATTTCAGCAACACAATCCATTGCCATTTAAATTTACTCATTTTTGACACACTTCAAATTAAGTCTAAGTGTTCATACTTTCAGTTGGTGCTTCTGCAGAAGTACTGACTTTAATACTTCTGTGTTATCACTAGGAAAAAAAAAGCTGAAATAGAAAGGCATGAAATGTGAAGAGAACCCATAAAAGCCCTCCAAAGAAAGATATAAAAATCCTGACCCCTTCAGGTAAAGCCTTGCAAATTGGAGTGCATAGCCTCCATGGGGCCCAGTCCTGCTACCTCCCCCTGCTGCCTTCTTGAAAGGGTCCTTGTAATGGGGGTCTTTGTAGCAACAGCTTTAGGAAAAAAAACCTATTTAGAATCCACGGGCATGCCAGGCAGACAAAAGAATTAGAAAAGGTGGAGCACTCAAGGATCTGAGGAACAAACTCTTCATTTGGATTTATGGGGCAGGACAAGCCCAGTTGGTCCTATCCTCTTGGGACTCTCAAAGTGCAGGAGGCTGGATTGTGTCTTGCCTTCTTGTCACCTTTGATATCATTATTTAAGTTTTTTCTGGATAGATTTTTGAACTGCCACCTCCCCCAACCCTGTCCTCATCTCTGCCCTCCCATCCCATTGGGAGAAGGATTTCCAGGAAGGAATATCACAATGAAGAATCAGCCCACAGACCAAACTTTGAGAGGGAGACCTTTTTCCCCAGCATGGGGAAGGGACAAGAAGCAATGTTCTCACCCTCCCTCCAAACCCACCTCCAAGCCCAACACACAGGCGCTGCATCTTGCCTCTGCTCAGCACAGCTGCTCCTCACAAGAAGGTGCCTGTGTATGAATTCAAGCTGCCCTCTCAACAGTTGATTAAAAATACATTTCAAAACCAGGTTTATTTACATTTTAATAACATCTGCAATTACAATTACTCTTCCTCTTCTGAGGAACTGCTCCACTGCATGCAGATCACCAAAATCAGAATCAGAAATTTCAGAAAACACGGGACTCATGTTCTACATAGCGTAAGTGCTTTGGTGAAAATAAGAAAAATCCCACTGATCACCTTGAGATACTCTGCTTTCCTAAATTCTCCCCTAAGTACATTTAGTTCTTGTGTCACAAGGTCAAGGCAGAAATGGCCACTTCAGGAAACCAGTGCAAAGTTCTGCAGCTTTCCTTATTTAAATCTTTACTTCAATTAAATAAATAGTTTGGATTGTTCACACATACTGAAAGGTACATATACTTTAGCACAAGTGTCCTGTGCAATTTTTTATACATTTATACATACAGCTGCATAAAATTGCATATAATTAAATTAAAGTGTAAAGCTCAAAATATGATTGTTAAATTTTAGACTGCATTTCAGTTAAGCTTGCTTTCCATGAACATCCCTCAAACCTTGCATTTCACATTTAAGGGAGACTGGGGGGGAAAAAAAAAAAAGTTTTAAAAAAAACCCCTATCTCTGGAAACAATTGTGCTGTGCCCAGATCTCTCCCATCTCTCATCACAGAGAAATCTGGT